CTTCTAACCAGAAATTTGTGACTTTAGGATACTTACCTATTACTAGTGGTAGGCACTGAAATAGCTTCGCCGACAACCTCACGACCTTGGTGGCTCGTTTGTGCGGAACAGTCGAGAGGAAAGAGTTGAACGTGGCGCTGCCGCACCCAGAGGCCCAGGTTGCTAAGTTGATCATTCTGTGTGTCGTAGTAGGTGTCGCGGATGATCTGCCCTGGCTGCCTGACCGCAATGAAAGAGGAGCCTGTTCTGGTGTTGTGCACCCTGAAACGTAGTGCTTCAGGTTTCACCAAGCCCTTAGACAAGAAGAAAGACGCGAAATCGGGACCGAGATTGAACTTGCGTTCGACTTCCACTTTTGATATAATGCGCTTGAGCCGCGGGGCGGCAACTTTCGACACTGTCTGATGCATCTGGTTTGTGGTTTAGACGTTGAGCTGCCGAAAGAGCTGGATAGATTAGCCCACCTACTTTAGTCATACACTTAGGTAGGTAGAAGAGAGAGTGTGTAAAATTTTGGTAGGTATTAGGCCTGTGGTTTTGTAAAGCTACCTAGGTAAGTCCAATCTGCATTATAGACAAACAATAGAAGGGCTTTAGAATAGAAGCACACAAAGCTTCCCTCCCAACAAACAAAATTACGTTCAGGGATAATGAATATACAAGCATAAACCAACTAGATTTTTTCTGCTATTAAGTATATTTCTGTATATTCTCTAAACCATCACATTCACCCGACACCGGTCGTTTTCTACAATGCAAGGACAAATGGTTGATATAGAGGTAGGTCCCGGTGGTTTGGAACTCCATTGTGGCATTAACCGTATTTGGTAGTTTATAGTGGTCCTTCGGACCAGCAAGTTGTACACTAAAAGCAGGTACCCATTAGAGCACCTAAGTAGCTTAGGTGACTTATAATACTAGTAGAGGGAAGAGATACGTGTAGGTAAGTACATAGCGAACGCATTTATTGTAAATGAAAGAGAACAGGTATAATGTGCCATGTGCTAAGGGCACGGCACGGACCCTTACCTACCTACCTAGGTAGAGTACACGAGAGAAGGTAAGTAGAGATCCCTCTTGGACGTGCTAAGTACTTATGTAGGGTAAGCGATGGTACCTAGTTCATGTTATTCAGGCTACGATACAATAGCAGGATGAGACGCTCGTATAAGATGGTCAGAAAATAGTCTTCATAATATGATTCCTAGGAAAATATCTTTGGGGGAACATACCTAGATACTAGGTATCTCACCGGTATGTAGTAGAGCCAGCAGAATCAAAGTCAAGTAATTCCATGCTCTACCGTGCTTCTCAGCTAGTTACAACTACAATACGGAGGTTCGCGATAGAGACTACATGTAGCACCGCAACAATCTTATCCAAAACACACCTAATCGCGAGGGGGCAGAGTCTTATTCATTCATAGCCCATTCGTCCTCCAGCGCCTACGCTATGGCAAGCTAAAGCACAATTACAGGGGCTCGTCGAAAGCGAGATACGCTTAATTTCATCGCTTCACCACGACAACTCCTTCTTCGCTACACCACATCCTCCCAAGTTCTCCTCAACACCATCCTTAGTCCAATCGTACATCCCTCCGCGATTTTTAAACGCCTTTTGGTCCCAGTAAACCTCGCTCAGTGCTTTATGCACCCCGACGTCTAGAATTGATTGTGACTGTTTCTCAGCCCCGGCGCCCTTGTCAAGGAAGCAAAGGTACTCATCAAGGATAAGGTAGCTTGATGCCATAACTGAGTTCGGCTCCGGTACAAACGCCCCGACGTGTCGATGCTTATCACAGAATGCCTTGAACTGCTCGCTAGAGATGAGAAGATTCTTAGCGTTCCGTTTTCGCTTATTCAAAGCGGCGTCCTCGTCCTTGCTATCGTTTTCCCCCTCGACGTAAAGGACTTGAAAGACCTTCCACCGGAAGGGTTTGAGTGTCTCTACCATATTCGCCATGTCCTCCTCCCAGTTGTGAGTGCATATGACCGTATTTAATTTGAACTTAATCCCGAGCTCACGGCACCAGTCGCGAATATTGAAAAGCTGCTTGACATTATTACCAGTACCGCGACCAATGGCGATATTCGTTTCCTCGTCGAAGCTGTCACAGCTGACGCCTAGAACGTCCACCCATCGGCCGTGTTCCTTCATCCATTCCTTATTCACCTTCGTTCCATTGGTAATAATGCTAACGCTTTCGAGGTCGAGTTCCTCCTTGCAGAAACGGCAGAGCATCGCTAACTTGTCAGGGTAAAGGAAGGGCTCGCCTCCGGCGAAATTGATTTTGCGCACTGTAACACGTCGAGTTAGTAATTTCCATCTTGAGCGTGATTAGTTAATGTCCCGAGACTCAAAAGAGCTTCAAAGGCATGGATTTGGCCTTGAAAGGAGCACTAAATCTAAATTGCGAAAGATGGAAAGCAATGGTGTTAAGGATTACTCACTCCCAGCCGCCTTGAGCAGCCTGAGTCCCCGCTTCATTTCATCCTCAGTAGCAACATGAGAACTTTTCTCAGTGTGGAAGCAGAAGCCACATGTCTTGTTGCATTTTCGGGTGAAGTGATAGTTTACCGAGATCGGAGTGATGGTTTTGCCTCTGTGATGGTTCCATAAGACAAGGTAAACTCCTATGCTGGTAAGAATAGTGCAGATAACTCCAATGAACGAGGTCCAAACGAAAGGAACAACACTTAGAAGCATTGTTTTCACTGTAGCGGACTCGCTCTAGGTGGATTGGTTCTATGTCCTGAGAGAAGAAGAAGAGGAGGAGGAGGAGGAATGGATAGCTGAGCTACAGAAAGTAGATGATGGGTTTAACCCTTTCTTATATACTTTTAAGTCTATGTACCCAATAACCACCTAGTATTAATGATTGCATTGGATGAAAAAAGAGCAGAACTAAGGGGAAGGAGCAAAAAAGGCCTAGGCAAACTATGGAATATGGGTGACCTCGGTCTTTTATGAAAGAAAACCTATGTCGCCCATGTTTTCCTTTCTCTTCCAGTCCACCAAATGTTTCGTTAGGCAATTCTTTCATTGTTTTGTTAAAAATTCTGTCTTGAGCGTTACAGACTTGGGTAGTTGGAAACACCATCAGTATGCACGAAGTGCTGCTTGTGTTGACAGAAATAATCATCTTATATTTAGGTCTGTGATAACATTGTGCACTAAGGATTACAATAGTTCCTTGAAATCATATATTCGATCTTCTTGTTCAACTATTCTGGACCCATTACAGTGTCCTAATGAACCCCTATCGCCCCTCTTCAATTTACCCGACACATGTCTGTAAGGCAAACCAGCCCGCCAGGTACGACTGCTATAATATGATTGTTTTTGCAGAGAGCTGTTTCAGGAATCATCTTTTAGGTAAGACGCCTTTGCTTGGTGAAATAAAGCGTTTTTTGTGGGTTAACCAAGAGCACCAAACAGGTCTCACCAACAGTTTCAATGCCTCTACGTCCCCAGATGGAAGATAAAACACTACGACGCCCTTCTAAATTTCCAGCTTCACTTCCAACCAACTCCTAAGGTATTCATAATGGAGAGCACAACACAACCGCCCAAAGATGTCATTATCTTCATCCTCGGTCCCCCAGGGAGCGGCAAAGGCACCAATTGTGAGCGCGCCGCCGAAATACTGAAGCCTGGACATCGTTGCTATCGCCACATCTCAGTGGGCGACTGCCTGCGCAAACTCTGCAATCCTGAGACGCACTGTGATGAGAAGAATCTTGATCGCAACATGATCCACAACTTCTTGAGAGAAAACAAACTACTGCCTGCCAACGTTCTCATACCACTACTTAAGCACACTATGGATTCTACGCCAACTGAGAAGGGCTGCACCACCATCTGGTTGATCGACGGGTTTCCACGCAACATGGAGACTGCGCTTGCATTTGAGGAGAAGGTAAGTTTGACTCTTTGAGGCAGAAGCACAATGTCACACCCCTTGGTATGCAAATACTAATCACTGTTTGCGTTAGATTGGCAAACCGATCAAAGTCATTGCTCTCCGCTGCCATCGTGACAAAGCACAAGATCGATACCTGAAAAGATGTAGGGAGACTATAGATGACAAGGAACGTTTCAATAACCGATACGATGGGTATCTCAGGAACATGGCGGCTATTCAGAAGCACTATGAGAGTATCTTGGAATGTGTATGGGTTTAGTCTTCTCGTATGCTTGTGTGATATACTGTCCATCGCTAATTTAAAGCTGCAGATCTCCGTGGATGGAGACAAGCAAGAATCCTTGCGTCAGTTCATGGCAGCGTTGCCCCCGACGTCTGATCAATAAGGCGCTATGAAGGGTGACTAATCGGCGGAGAAACTTGTGAACACGTGCATGGTGCTTGGGAATCTGGAGTAGAGAAGAGTTCCTAGCTTAGTTTCTGGAAGCGTAGAACTAGGATAAGGCTTAATACCAGCAATTTCAGAATTCATCACGGGCAAGATTGATCCCGTCATGTCTTAAGTGCACATAAGGTCGTCAGTTCCAACAATCTTGAATAGTGGTATCAGATCTCACATCAAGAGATAGAAGATTCTCCCTGGTACTCTCGAAGCAAGTAGCAATGAACTGGTACATTCTCGATTCGTCATCTACTTTATAGAAGATATGTCTTGTTCCGCACGTCACAGAGAAATCAAAACTAATTCAGCAATGTTTTGTACCAGGTCCTAGAAGAGCGTGAGTGTTAAAATTGTGACTTTCGCATAACCAGCATCATAAGTGCTTACATAATCAAGATTATGCTCTCACCTCAATTGGAGAAGAGGGAATCGACAGTGAAACAACCCACTCGGAGAATTAACTAGAAGAATTACACATCACCTTAATCTTTACTAATGTATCCGTATCAGGAAAACGTCTTTTATCGTACTCATTTCGGCATAGTTATTCTTGTTGAATCACCCCCATGGCCAACCAATCCTTTTGGACCTCGAGTCATAAAGTGGAATTGAAATGGAGAACAGTATCCACCTGGTCCCATAACTCAGTTGGTCAGAGTGTCGTACTAATATTGTAATTTACTTATAACGTTAGTCATGCGAAAGTCGTGAGTTCGAGCCTCACTGGGACCAAGCTTTTATTCTTTGATGTGGTTGTATCTGTAATTTTTTTTATGTAGTTTTCGCTTGAGGCTCGCTAGGAACGGGGGCGTGGATGCGGTTGGCATAACTGTTGTGCTGTGTTATGTATGTAGTTTGTGGGTGGATGGCGGGGAATAGAACTTTTGCGCCGGTGCTAACTACCCGCAGTCAGTAGCTATCAATATAGAGTCGAGTTGTCTCCCATACAACGATTGCGGACTAGATTTGGCTAGCATGATCGCCACTAGACTTGCCGTGCTACTAATTAGCGACGTAGGTATCCGGCACCTCCGTTATATCATACGTCTCCCCTCGTATACTAGGAAGGGGAGTTTTCTCCTAGTAAGTGTTAATTAGTAGATAGACGTTATGCCGGTGTGACCCTATGTGTCTTCTAAAGTTCCTGTATATTTGAAGCACTGAAGAAAATCTGCGCTGAAACGAGAATCTAGCAAGAAGCGGGTGACGGAAGTGACGTTGGCACGGTTAGAGCATCAAATAGACGTGCGTCCTGGTCTCTTGGTATTTCCTGTGCTGCTATTGCTCGTATTATTGTCTCTGGCCGCAAGAACAGTGATGTAGAGGGTCGAGCTGAGTCGTTCAAACATGGGGGGAGACTGCTATCGCTCGACTGCCTAATGTTATAGACCTGCTGTTTCTTTAGTCATCCAGTTCTAAGCATGGTGATTAGAAGATGTTAAACTCCGACATCACGTCTCTTCATCGTCTCAGAAGCTTTTGAGACGGCGTACGAATATTCAGACACATCGAAATAGACTGAACATCAACACTGACATGATGTCTGCGTGGACTATGAACGTATGCTAAGAGTGCAATTACCAGGGCGAGAAGGAATGCTGCATGCTTACATGCCGCTGTTTTACGATTGGCATCTCTGGCTATATTTCTGGGTATACATTGATTAAGCAATCCAGTATGTGTTATGTCCTGTGTCGCTGTGTTTTATTTGTCTGAGGGTTTCTCGGCCTTGGGAAGTGCAGCATCCCTGTCCTCCTTTAGTTTTCGCAATCGACCGATTAACTTCTTGTTCTCTAAGGCTCGTGTTGCTGCTTTATCACCCGCTTCTTTTTTTGATAGACCATTTCCATATCCAAGGCTGAGATTTGTCTCGCCAAAGCCGTTGTAGTATGCCCCCACGGTGAACCATAGTAGGTTACTGTTCTTATCCTTTTTCGGCTGGCCTATATCTTGGTAAGAAATTCTGACCCCTTTCGTCCCGATTACCTGAGACAAGACTTCTTTGGGGCGACTGCTTGGGACAGGGTTCGTTGGACTATTCTGAGAATATTCCTCAACAATAGGCTTCTTGTATTCATCGCGAATCTCTTGCCTGAGGATAGTGCCCCAGACTCGCTTTATCCAAGCGAGAACGCGTGGAAGGCCGTCAGCATCGCCTAGAATAGCCGCAGCGACGTAGGCTTCTAAGAGATCGCCGAGAATTTTTTTCCTCTCTTTTTTCGACGCCGATGTTCCGGCACCTGACTGAGAAAGCCTACCTCCAGGCTGAAATTCAGTAGGCAATATGGCCCGTTTGTCGATGTTGTATCGTAGGGTAAACTCGGACAACGTCTCATTCTTTATGAGGCGTTCACGAAGCTGCGAACACCGCCCCGCGGATAGGTTGGGAAAGGTCTGATATATGAATGATGATGAGACGAGATAGAGATATGCGTCGCCGATCCATTCAAGCCGCTCATAGTCCATCTCGCCAAGGCCTCTCGCTACGCCAGAGTGAGTACGAGCTGCCTTCTCGAGAACGGGGTCCAACGCAGGAGGCAGTGGCGGCAGCACATCTGAATCGGGAACATCTTGAGGTCTCCATTTCGTGAGCAGCGCTGGATGCGGAATGGGAAATCCTGACTGTGGGTGATTATTTGAAGGTCCTTGGTGCTGGTTCACTTTCTGGATCTTGTGTGTACTTTCTGATGCTTCGCTCAAGCTGGCAGTCTACCGAGAAAGATTAGATATATGATCTGAGATTTGAACGAGTCATCGAGTTATCGCACCTCATCTTGGGACAATGCATGCACTGCGGGGTGAATTTGAGCGTTATGTTGTTTGAGTGTCAAGAGGATCTTCTCATATGATGGCGGTTCGCTGTATTTTCCTAGTCGCTCAAGGTCCTGCTTGAGAGATTGCGCAGCTTTCAGTAAGTTGTCCGCATGATCTAATACCAAAAGGTAGTGAGAACTCGACGTGGTTTTTGCAAAGTTTTCAAAAGACCGCTTAGACATGATGACCATTCCCCTTGTTCTAGCTCAGGAAGTTTTGAGCTTGAGTGACTTGCCTGTAGGAACAAGATATGGTTTACTATTGGCTTATCGGATCTAAGGCACTACTATGTACGCTAATGCATCAATGGCTTTGGTATTGTGGAGACAGTTGCCTACCTCCAAGGTAGGTGTGGAGACTACGGAGCACAGGCCATGTGTGCAGACCAGCTCTCGACTTCTTCAAACTTTCTGGTCGTAGGACTGCCGTCTGGACGCTTGCGACAAACCCGGCCAACACGATATTGAGGACCATTCGCCAAAGATGGCGGCTGTACCCCGGGCACGGCTTCTAGATCTGATGAAGGCAGGGAAATTCTCACAATCCCCAAGCATGGCACAGACAACTAACCTCGCGATCAGGCCCAGTGTCAAATCTTCTCGACCACCTACAATCCCGAAGGCATACGAATGGGCAATAAAATTCTTCGGCAGAGACTCCGAGGCCCGTCCCTAGCGAAATACTATCCCCCAAGAGGGCCCACGATTAATACGTTAGAAAAGGAGTTTAGGAGTTTGGGACTCGAGACATTAGATGAGGAAGAGGACGATCGGCAGGAACACTTAGCAGGGCAAGTCGCTTGTGTACTCTTGTTGCATGTCGCATCCCAAGTGCTAACTTTTTTTCTTCCAGTCGGAGACAACGTGGAAAGGGTGCACCGAAGAAGAAGCGCACTGCGCCAGGTATGATTCTCCTTTAAGCACACCCTCCCCAGTAGTGCTAGATACTAACACTGCTGTGAAGATAAAAAAGAGAAAGGCAAATAAGAATGACGATGGCTATGACCTGACACCTTGTATTATCGACATGTATAACAATTGCGATATCCACAAAAGATAGACAAAAAGAGTTCGATGTGAGAACAAGAAGCTAGGATTCGAGTCATTCATTAAGAATTCTCGGAAGCTTCTCTCGACCGTGTACCCCAGCGGTGACACAACCTCTCTTCACCTCAGCACAGGTTACAATTATTGTTCGAATTCCACAGCAACTGTCCACGTACGAATAACATTGCTGGATTGTTAGTGATAATAATAGATACGACTTGGAGGACAAGGTCCGTTTGGTAGAGAACCCGCACACCGCGATAATTGGCCGAAAGGAACAACTGGAAATGATATGCGTTGCGACATACTTAATTGGAAGAGTAGGGTGCTTATTTCGTATTCACTTAATGTCTCTGGAGTGCGCTAACATCGACACCAAGAGCGTGACAGTGAAGGCTGAATGCTACCTCCTATCTATTACGCTGGTACCTATCTTCACCCTGCTTTGTCATTGTGCAACATAGGGCTCCCGTATAGCATCATAACCAACGCACAGCCCACATCTCGGCGGGGCTATTAGCTACAAAACTAGGCAACCAGGCGAGAAGCTCAATTCCTAAGGCTCAATCAGCTAGCCTACATCCACAAGCGAAGTTGAGTCTAGATTGAGTTGTGTTTCCTGTATTCTTGACACTATCTTATCGGAGATCTCACAATGTGCCTGAGCCGAGATATAATTACAAGATGTAGGTACGTTAAAAAACGCTATTCAAGACAATTGATATGCAAGCCTAGGAGGCAATCATAGTCTATCTAGGTGACTACCACGAGATGTACATGTATATATGTGCATGGCGGTACCTACCTACCTTGTGTACTCAGCTAGGAGCTACCTAGGTCTAGGTAGGTAAATGGTGCTACATAATAGCACACAATTATAGATGGCTATCTTCGCCATCGTAGTTTCCATTTTACCCCAGGGTTAGTTTGCCTCGGCAAGGACATCACGCCCATTACTTGCCACCCATGCCTACATTACTTACATATATACCTCTGCTTCACCTATTCATCCTATGTATTTGTACCTACCTGTATGTGCACCTTCAAGTACTACACATGTAGGTTAGGTAAGTACCTACCTGGATTCCCTCGACTCATTTTGGCCTTTCTGTTTCTCCTGACAGCTATACTCGTCCAGCATTCTTTACACAACGCAACGCGCCTGTTCTCCCTTTTCTACACTTCTTTCTCCTTCGGCATCAACCCTTCCATCATCTCAACCACGAGACTCTCTCTTCAATCTACCTACCTCCCTCCAGCGTCCCCCTTCTTCCTAAGTTCTGACTGTTCATATTGACGAGGTACCGTGACCTTCCGCCAGAGACGCCCATTGCCCATTACCATCCATCTGCCAACTCCACGAACTGCCTTTTCTACCACCAAGACTGTCTAACGCTTTCCATCTCTAGGTCATCTGAAGCGACACGATATAGCAGGTGTCTATATGCTGCCTCGGATAAGCTATCACGTCTAACAGGTTCCAAGCTTGGTACCTCTGCCATTTACCTATGATCTTGCCAGTTCCCCGGGATATCTCCAGGCGTGCGGCTATTGCCACTTCCGCGTATATACACTTTCTTCTTATCATCCCCAGAATCAGCCACCAATCTATGTACGTACGTGCTGGGCCCTTGCCTTGGGTTAGGTAAGCTAAAACGCACATCCTGTTCAAGTCGATGCTGTCGCTGCCAACGCCTTCTCGCACTCAATCTCCATTATTTCGGTCCCGAGGTAGCTTCCTTCCAAGTGTTATGTTCTGAGTTCTATTCTGGGACTGCAGCCGTCTAATTGTTCTGATCATCACCTCTCCGTGGATTGCCATCTTTCCGCCTTTTCATTCTAATCCCAATCCGCATCTCCATCATCTAGCCA